AATATCTAAAGTGTAAGTGAGAGCAAAGGTGTTTATGGACTTCATGGCTTCTAAGAGCCAATAAAGTACAGCTCCTTCATCACAGACAGCCCATTAACAACCCATGTTTATTAGTAAAAATCCTCTGAACTTAATACGCCTTTGTCAGCAAAAGTAATTGATCTTGGCCAGTTAATTTGGCTCGTTTTGCAGACTGAGGACTTGCCACTCTTTTAAGAGTATCCTACAACTCTGTGGGCTTTACTCCCTTCGGTAAGGAATTTCCAAGAACGCTGAGCCCATAGGGTTCTTAAAATAGTTTACTAAAAGAGAACACAAACATCTCTCATTGGCACCTTGGTCTTTAGTCTTACAAGTCTGAAGACATTGGGTTTTACAGAAATGTCTGTGCCAACTGCCACCATCCTGTTCCCTGAAAACTTGACCAAACAAAGGCAAACGGAACTGCATGCTGTCCAGTTAGGTAGGTAGTAAAAATTCAAACTTAAACAAAAAAGAAACAGATGCAGGCTTTAACCAATGCTCGGTATACTTTATAAACAATTCTTTGCTTGGTATACTTTAACCAATGCTTGGTATACTTTATAAACAATTCTTTGCTTCTGTGTTAGGAAAGAATCCTCCTCTTTCCATTTTAAAAGGAGCATAGGACCTGTTCACACTGAACACGTGCCATAGGGAACGCACTCCAGTATGACTCAGACAACTCTATAGAACAGCCAGAAGCACTCCAGTTTTCACCCCCCTGATTAGTATTAGGGCTCTGGAGAAGTAATTCTCTTGGCTCTCTTATTTATGTAATGGGTACATGGGGGTTATATAGTTTAACAAGGGATAGTAAAGAGCTGCATTTTTCTGTGAGTCACGATGATATTCACACCTAAAAATGTTAGATGCTCTGCTTCTGGAATGAGTAAGAGCAAGAGGTTGTGAAATCCTCCCCAGATATCGTCACACGTTAGCATGCTCTCAACTGTCTGGAATGCCGTATATACTGGAATGCCTGCCCTAAATCGAGGATGTAAAATCATGCGCAAGGCATCTGTTTCATTATCTAAGGAATCCATCTCAATAAGATGAAATGTCTTTTCTGGTGGTCTGCCCCTGTCACCACATCACAAAAACATGGGTAGACCATTTTCACAAATTCAGAGAGTGAAACAAAAAAGGGTCGAATGTAAAATGTAAGCCACATGGCACCACATGGCTTATGTGATATCTCCTTGAGAGCGAGGAGCACCTCGGAGAGTTGGTAAGTCATCCATCAGAGACGGAGTACACACGGGGGATGCCTCACATGTGCATGACTCTGTATGGGGTGCTCCTAGGCAGGCAGAACCTAATGAGAACGGGATATCTACCTACAATAGATTCTCCCAGGCAAGAAGGCGCAGGTCAGCTCTGAAGGGCAGAATTGTCACTGGAAGAGAAGCGATTACTGGGTTTCAGTGTCCTACGTCATAAGACAGCAATAGAAAAGAAGAATACTAGTGACACTGAACACTCACAGTGCTCAGTGGCGAGGTTAGAAAGACATGCAGAAGCTACAACCTGCTACCTGGAAGTGTGTGTGTGTGTGTGTGTGTGTGTGTGTGTGTGTGTGTGTGTGTGGGTGTGGGTGGGTGTGGGTGTGGGTGCGTGTGTGTGTGTGTATGCACGCACACGTGAGAGAAGGAGGAAGGGAAAGACGGCAGATGAGCTAGCCAGTGCGAGCCTTAGGAACACAAATGAGAAAACTGCGGTCGCTACCATCTGGGGAATGAAGTGGTCACCGAGTTAGTTGCAGTGGGGTGGTGATAACCGACTTTGAAAGCTCAAGCACTCACCAGGTGAAGAAGGAAAAGAAAGGAGTTCCAGACCAGGCCAGCAGCATGAGCAAAGGAAAACACTGATGGTCCAGTGTTCTAAAGACATGTGCATGCATATATACATATGGGTATATGCGTGTGTATGCATATATATACATACATATTTAGAGACATGAAAATATTAATGTATAGTTCATGTGTGTACGTGTGCCATATACATATACAAATACAAATATGCTGTAGCTGACTGTGTTGCTGCCCCACCTCCATCCTCTCACCCTTACCACATGAGTGTGCATGCCAGACTCCCAATGGCCAGCACCTGTGCTTCTTCCTCTCACTGCTAGAGGCCACTTTGTCACCTGAGGGGCAGGCTCATATTGGTACCCAATCAATACCCCTCTGGCGTAGAAGGGAGTTGCTGTAAACATATCTCGTGTTCTTCACCTCTCAGCAGGAAATTCTAAGGCATGAATCTCATACTGGCTTCCAAAATTTGTCCGGCAGGAGTGCACTCTGGTCGGGTACAAGGATACTTGCTTGGTTGGGTACAAAGATACTTGCTTGGTGACACCCCCTCGCCAGGGTGCCTCCCCTCCCTCCCCAGAGTCATCACCACACTCCTCTGCCAGTGTCCTCTCTAAGGAAATGACTTACATGTAAATCCTTATCTCAGGGCCTGTTTCTGGGGGAATCCAAACTTGGACATGTAAATGTGTGTGTTTGCATTTATATTTATAAGCTTGTTTATATAGATTTGTATAGTTATGTGGATATATACACTTGTAGATATAGACGTACACACATACAAATATATATGCACACAGATACCACATACATACCCCTGGGCCAGTCTGTACATTTGCAATGTTACTTCTAAAGCAAACATCTGTAGTCATCACTTTCAAGAACAGGGCCATTTGCTGCCAAGACATTATCTTTTTTTTTTTTCTTTTAGGGTACTACATCAAAAGGCAGCAAAGTGAAAGAATATTAAAAATGAGGTTATTTTAATAACAAGCTACAAAAAGACAAAGCTTAAACCTCAAATTTTTGTGTCCACAAAAAGAAAAACTGCTCTCGGGGCCCTCCTCATATCCAAGCCTGCATACAAATGTCCGATCCCCAAGCAAGAGCTCCCTCCTCTCTTTTACTTATCTTATTAGCTTAAAAACTGACATTAGGAACATAAGAAAAAGCCATTCACTGCCCCTTATGTGTTAAGGGTGGCAACACAGAGAGCTAGAAAGAATACAGGATTAGGAAATTGGGAAATTAAAATACAGGAATAGAGAAAAGATACAGAATATAGGTCTGGAGAAGACTCACTAGCAGGAAAGCTTTGGCAAGTAACATCTCTGGATTTTTATTTCTTCAATTGAAAATGGAAGCAGGACTTCCAGGCACCTGAACTTGGCTCTCAGATATGTTTTGTTCAGCATGCTTGTGTTTACAAACACAAGAGATCTGAATGCCTTGAGCACATTTGAGTTTGTGACCCCTGTACATATAATTCCTAAACCCATTCGCAGTTCCCAACATTGGATAACTTTGTGTGATTGTCACCAGTAAAACCACAGCAGCCTTCCATCCTCCTGCCACCTGCTGACCTTCCTCTCCAAGGAGGCTTAGCTGCCTAACCTTGGCCCACCTTTATGGAAAAGACAATTCATACAGATGCAGATTTAAAATTTCCTACTGAAATGTGTCTTGTTTTTCTTCAATTTACCCAAAAGAATGAGACTAAATTTTAAAAAAATTATCAGAAAACTTTACCAACATGGAAGAAATAAAATTAAGACATGGGCAGCAGTTAATGGCTTATTTACATAAAAATAACATAAAACTATTTAAACATAATTAGCAAGAGGAGAAAAACATGGCAGTTGAGTCTGAATATGCAAACTTCTGTTTATCAGGAAATTACTTTTGTATTTTTGTATATTATTATAGTATTATGGGTATTATATACCTCATATTACATACTTTTTATATACTCTTCTCTCTGCCTCCCTTCCTTTCTTTCCTTCTTTTCCCCCATACAAAAACCATTACTCTTGGTCATATTTACCTTAATATGGACTGTCTAGGTTGTGTGTGCATGTCTCATGTAGGGAGAGGGAAAGACTTTAGAAAAGACATGCAGAGCAATGGCAAATGCTAAGACTATGATTTATGATGGTTCACATTTGATTCTACTTTGGTGAAATTAGGATACTGAAGTTCTCTATGTATGTTTTTTTAATATTCTGATATGCATACTATATGTTCTTCATTATAAAAGATTAAAAGTTTTAAAAATATATGGTTGTGCTAACTCCCTACTGTAAATAACCTGGAGCACTGAATAAGACTAGATTCCCCATCGTCACCATTACCATCATCACCACCAATGATCGTACTCCAAATTTAAAATACATTTATTAAAAAGATCCCTTTAAAATTATAGCATACGCCAAGTTTCTTCTTTCATTCCTAAGCACTCTGAAGCTATCCTCAGTATATGAATTCAAGTCAAAAATTCTTAGAAAGGCAAGTCTATGGCTTTGTCCCTACTCTGCTCTGAATCCACAGTTTAGTGGCCATTTCCTCCAATCCATCCCACCCTCCGCCAGTGAAAATGACCAAGCCTCAGATTAGGTTCTCTCACCCCACAGAATACACTGAAGCAAGCTGCACTTATCCCCATCTGCTTCCCATCTGACTACATTGAATAACTCAACAGCTGCCTCAGCCAGAAGCTTCTCTGCCCCAAAGAAGAGAGAACCCAAATCTTCCCAAAGAAGGCAGTGGAGGGAAACCAGCCTCCCTCCCTCAATCTTCATTCAAACCAGTGATTCTCAACCAGGTGTGATCTTGCTCTCCAGGAGACATGTGACAACATCTGCAGACATTTCTGGTTATCATAACTGAGGGGTGTAAGTGCTATTGGCACCTAATGTGTCATAACCAGGGATAATGCTAAACACCCTACGATGTGCAGGATAGTCCATACCACAAAGAATTACCCACCCCAGAATTGCAAGAGTGCCAAGATTGAGAAACCTGCCCTAGAGCAGCAGACTTTTTCCTTGGCTCCACATCTGGAGGGAGAGGAGGAAAGACTGTAAAGAAACTCAAGGCTGTTCTTGGTGGATCTCACCCACAATGAACCAGAAGGGACACCCTTAGAACATCCAGGGCAGTACTTACAACACAGGAACACCTGGTACATTTGTTTCCTTCTGGCTGAAATTCCTCCCCTTCTCGGTACTGCACACCCTCAAACACACAACCTAGAAAGCAAAGTTTAGAATTAGGACATGAGCCTTTGCTCAGCTTGACACGATGCTTCTGTCCAGTGCTCATCCATCTCCCTCATCTAGCTCCCACCTCCACCTCCGCCTCTACCTGGCAGAGTATCCTCTTTAACCAGGGGACAAGATCGCTTCATAGTTTAAAAAAAAAAGTACAAAAGAGTGACAGGAGTCCAGAAACCTGAAGATGCTAGAAAGCAAATAAGACGATGGAAGCCAGGTCAGCCCAAGGGGGAACACTGGATAGTGGCAAGCCCTACAAGTCTAAGGAGCTCCCCATGACCACCATGACCACAGCCAGGGGAACTAAACCCCAGAGGGGCTGGAAGAGGCAAACAGGAGAAGGCCAAGTGAGAGAAGTCCACAATGAGCCACACCCAGCAAATGACACAAATGACATGACCACTTGGTGAGTATCCAGGGAATATCCAGCCTCTGTCAGGCTCTTTGTATCCCTGATCTCATTCCATCTTCACAGCGAGTCTACAAAGTGGGGACTCTTGTAATTATCTCCATGGATGAGGGAAATATGGCTGAGAGAGAGGAAGTAATTCACCCAGTTGGCAGGTGGCAGAGCTGATATTCAAACTCAGCTCTGACTTACCAGTTGCACCACACACAGGGTCGGGCACCAGGGCAGGAAGGGGAAAAGGCAGGGCAGGAGATGCCACACAGTTTTTCAGACCTACCCTATGTGATATTAAAAAGGCTTAGCCACTAAATTTGGCTAAAACTAGGATGAAAAGACCAGGAGGTGTCTCCAATTCAGAATGATCCTCAGGACACTGCTGTATTCTTTTTTTTTTTTTT